GGATCTCTGAGTTCTCTTTCGTATTTATTTTATTTTTATTTTAACAAATTTATTCAGATCAAATTGTTGCATATATTATTAAGTTCACTAAGTAGAAAGAAAACAACAAACTATACAAATAATTGGATAGCGAGTGATCCAAAATGGCAAGGTACGAACGGGACTCTAGAATTTGGACCCATGCAAGGCACCTGCCAGCAAAGTTGCAAATTATAAAAAATAATTAAATATTAATATATATGTTACCAAAATTACTATGAAGGAGTGGATCTATATCATGCAGCCATCAATCTATGATGTTTATCATACAGGCATACTTTTTGTTTTGAATACTTGATTCTCGCAACCTGACCCCTAACACCCTGACCCTAACCCGGGGCATTGGTCCCTCCCCCTAACTGGTGGATGGCTAAATGCCACAGGGCCAATATAAACCTACGGTGTTTCAGTGTTTAGTAGATCAAACAGCCATGTATTGCACTATTGCATGAACCCAATCCCAATCATAAGTTGAAAGACATGTACACCAAACACTGTGCCACCAACACCATTATATACACTCACCTGCCTGATGAGGTTGACCAGGTTGAATACCACCGTACATCCAATTTGGTTGCATACCATTATTTGGTGGTAAATTTGAAAGTTGAACGTAACTTCCATGGACTGGTTGAGGTGCCACCAAATTCTCAGGGGGGTTGACATAAAGTTGAAAATTTAGTACACGATTATGGTTATCAAAATCTGGTTGATCGTTGGGTGAATTTGTTGTTGAATATATCTGGCCAGGGACGGCCAGATAACTGTGGGCTTGTGGCCATATAAATTCTATAACAAACTTTTCCCTATCCATAATGGCTCCTGCAGGGTTAATGTCCACATCACAAATCAGCCCGGCAATTTTGATTTTGTCTCCTTTGTTTAATTCTCTCCATTTATCATCAGTGATATATTGTTCATTCAAATTATAGCCTTGCTTTTCGCTGGCATTTCTGGTCATAAATCGAACCTGATCATTTGATAGTATCTGTCCCTTCAGTTCTACATGGCTTCGCGAAGCGTGTATATCGTTTATGAAGACATCAGCACCCTCACGTCTACCAAAAACAACTGGATGGTCCCAGTCGATGTTTTTTCTTGTCGGTAACGTACGTATTACATCTTCGCTGCATGCAATGTTGACATGGAATTGAACCACCAACATTACTGTTGAAATCAGTATAAAAAAAAGCTTTAAATTTTGTTCGGATATATGCCTACCGTTGTAACCGTTCGTTGAATATCGGTCAGTCAGTTTATTAGTCAGTCGGGGAATCAGTTTCAGATGATTAGTCTGTCAGTGAGTCTCAAGTTGATCAGTGACGTCAGTCCCAGAGTCATGAGTTGAGGGGGTTAATAGATAAACCGAGAAAAAACTAGGCTTTACTGTCAATTTCAAGTCACGTTTCAACGAGCGGGGTTCCCAAGTTCGTTGCGAACTTGCCAATCACGTTTCCAAGTTTGGAAATTGTGCGCGAACTTCGCAAGTTCATTTCAATGTTTGAACTTCGTTTGTAAACAAATGTTCATACCACTGATCTGGTTCATACGTAATAATAATAATAACCAATTCAATGAAATGGTTGGTAAACCACTGGACCAAGAACTTTCCATTGAATTGTTACTGCAATACAGTAATTTCAACTTGAACTTTGAACATGCAATAGAAGTTCAAACATTGAAATGAACTTGCGAACTTTTTTGCGAAGTTCACGCCTAATTTCCGAACTTGGAAACATATATAGTTGGCAAGTTTGCAACGAACTTGGGATCTGCGCGTTGAAAAGCGACTTGGAATCAACAACAGTGAAGAAGATATTTGACCAATGTTGCTGTTGCAGAAAAACCAGAAAAGTGGTAGGTATATATTTCAATAAAATGAAGCCACATGTTTAGCGCTGACTGAAATATTCTACTGGTTCAACTTTGCGTTGTAATTTCGCAAAAATGTTCATGTGTAACAGTGCCTTTAGATTGGAAGTGGTTTGAATTAAGCTTACGGGATTAAGTAAATGAAATGAAAGTGACTTTTGAAGTAGCGTCATGCACGTTTTTAATCTATATTCTCATTTGGTCTTTTATAAGAACCAACACACCCTAATCTCAGTCAGTTAGTCAGTCAGTAGCCCAGTCGGTTGGGAAGAGTCAGTTACTTTTCGACTGGTTGAAAATTAGAAAAAGAATGTTGTTTGGAAAGTCTCACCTTCGTTAGGTGAAGCCGTGCTCCGCCTTCTTAATTCTTGCCGTTCTACACCACCTAAATAGCTATCACACGAGTGACTGGGCTGACCACCGAAACATTGTGTATCTGGTAAACTGTCACCATTTACACCTGTGACATGAACAGATGGTGTGGGTTTTTGTGTTTGGTGGTCTACCATGTTATCAGCTGTCTCAATTTGGATGCTACCATGAATCATATGGTTAACTTCACCATTACTATTCACACCTGTAACCTGAGCTGATGGTACAGTATGTTCTACTGTTTCTTTCTCACAATCTACCATGTTACCAGCTTTCACTGATTTTGTGTCACTGCTGAGATGATGGTTAGGTTGTTCACCAATAATCTTCGTAGTAACTGTGACTTGAGCTGATGTTGTGGTGTTTTCGACTTTTCGTTTCTGAAGATTCACCATTTTGTCTACGTTCCTTAATTGGACGCTACAATCAACCAATTGGTTAACTTGGTTACCAGTAATCTGTGTCGTATTTGGTGCACCAAGTTGCCTTATACTTGTTGTTGGTGTATCATCTTCAACTGCCCTTTTCTGATGATCTGCTAGATTACTAGTTTTCTTTAATTGGATGTCCTGAAAAGCAGAGATTTCACGTTCTAGAACGCGGTCGGTTGATGTAGCATCTACCACTTGACTAACACTTGGACATTGTTGTTTGGTCGAATGTTCACTTGATGTACCATTTGTGTCTTCAACAGTAGCTTTATTTCGATCTACGATACCAAACGAATGAAAATTCGGACAATTAACCACATGGTCCGTTAAGTTCCTATCTGTAACTGTCAACTGTTGACGGTTTATCTTACCCCTAGCTGGTTGATGGTCCTCTCCTGTTTTCTTTGCGAGGTCACCAACATTCTCACTTGATGTGCCTAGTATGATACCTTCGCCAATCTGATGTTGATTTTCAACAACATAATGAGCTAAGGTAACAGAATTTCCAACCGCCTTTTGCTTTCGATTGAACGCATTTTGATTTGTACTGGTGGAATCGCATTCATGTGCCTTGTTTTCTTGTTTGCTAACAGCTTGATCATCTTCTGTGATTATTTGAACATTCTGACTTACACCAGTGGCCCGTGTGTCATCTTGAAGTGTCAATTTTTGACGATCTACCAATTGACTAGTTTTCTTTGTTTGCAGGCTGTCTTGAAATGCGGAATTTTCACGATCTATAACGTGATTGGTCGATATAGCATCTACAACTTGACTAACACTTGGACAATGTTGTTCAGTGGACTTTTTATTTGTGTTTTCAGCGGTAGCTTTATTTCGATCTTCTTTATCTTGACAATTAACTATGTGGTCGATATCTGTTTTGTCCTTCACTGCTTTTTTTGCGCGATCAGCAACATTGTCACATGATGTTCCAGTGTCACCTAATGAGCCTGTATTGTCAACTGCATTCTGTCGTAGGTCTATTATACCTCCGCCAACCTGATGTCGGTTTTCAAATGTTAGTTTTTGATTCTCAACAATCAATTTGTCATCTTTTGTTATTATTTGATCATTCTGAACGACAGAGGATCTTGAATCGTCTGATGTAGAATCCAAGGGCTTATTTCCATGGACAAATCTATCAGCCATACTTGTCAACTATGATAAATTTTTATGGAATATACAATACATTTCTAAGAAATTGTGCTACTGTGATTAAACATGCAGTGTCTAAGAAGGGTTTGCATGCAAAATCAAAAATATTTTAAATAAGACAGAGTATTTAGTACATGTACATTTTAGTTAAGCGTGATTAATTAATATGGTTATACACATACACATATCTTGTATACACGCTATATATTATATATACGCTTCATTAATTTTAAGTGGAAAAGACACTTGTTTTTGTTTTTGTATTTGCTCTACTGATTTATTGGTGTTGAGCACTTTAGTTCACTACGCACAAATTCAATATTGAATATTATATATATATATTTACTAATTACAGACGGTACCGTTGGGAACTCCAGGAATCAAGGAATATTGAAAGTGTGAAACCAGGGCGCTATAAAACACGGGCGGTGAAACGGAGATAGCGCCCCTGATCTTTGTGTGATGCGCGTACCCCCCGTATACATTAATTTATATGTCGATAAAAATGGAATTGGAATGTTTATACAAAAAGAGCTGAAAAAACTAAAGTAAAAAATGTTTTCTGCACATTCCTAAACAACTTGATGGTTTGAAGACATTGTTGGATTCATTTTCTGTATATCTGATGAAGGAAAAAGTGCTTTAAAGATTCATCATGAGCGAAATAAAAATTTGAAAAGGAATCGAGCTGATCGAATGTGGGCATATTCCAAATACGAAAATTTTGCAATTGGTATGAAATGGGATATTTTACTTCATAATGCGAAGGTAGGACAAACATGTTCACAGTAAGAATATTATGACATTGCTTGGCTACTATTTTTCAATAATCATATAGCCCAAAATTGACAGTTCATGCATTTAAAACAGCTAGAATTTGAAAAAAACAACTACAATTTCATTTTGTTCGACAATTTGAAAACTTAAATATATAACCGTTTTTGTGTTAATCAGCCGGCCTGCTTGTAGCCTGCTCACAGACGTTGTAGCCTGCTTGGAAATCCACTGAAAGTTCATTATAAAGTGTTTTTACTAATTGATTTGATTTCTATTATTGGAGTATAACTGCCGCCGACACTCCAAAAATATTCAGCGTAAATCTTTTTTCGTACAGTCGACTGTAGTCGTTGACATTGCAGTGACAGTGTTGCGGAAAACTATAAAGGCTTCAAAATATCTCCATTTTATGAAAAAAGCACAAAAAAGCACCGTTCAATTTTACGTGAGACATAAAGCCAAGTTAAATGTCTATAATTTGATGTGTTCAAATTTATCTCAACCTATCTCAACGAGGAGAAAACACTATTTTAAATATGTCCGCGCTTTGACAAAAAAGAAAAAATGTCAAAATCGAATTCAAAATGCATGTCTTTTCCTCAACGGGTATACATAAAGTGCGAGCCAGCGAGCCATGCCGATGTTGCGAGCCACCACAGATCGGTGCGAGCCACGCGATGTGTGCGAGCCATGTGCAATAAATAAATATAAGAAATTGGTCTTGACCAGATGGTACTGAGTACATCTTATCTCCAGGACACAATAAGCAACTTGCGTGTTAGACTAATTTTTGATCTACAATTCTAGACAAATAACATGCGGAGGCTGATTAAAAATGGCTGGAATTTAAAGCAATCAATTAATTATACGCATATTCAGCCGTATTCCCCGCTCCCCGTCACAAATAATTACACGACTAGTCAGCCGTATTCCCCGCTCCCCCGTTACAATGTTGTTGCTACAGATACCGCAATACGGCAATAGTTGCCATAATGACTGAAGTGATCAACATTGTTTCAGGGGAGGGGGACCGACCTTACGAAGTATATATGAAAATGTTTAAAAAAATAATTTATTTGCCATGTTTGTCCGAGTAAATTTGTCTATGATTGTAAGTAAAAAAGTAACTTCCCGTAAAGAACTTGTTAAAACTGGTGAAAATGCAAAGTTTGGTTAGTGCGAATTGTTGTAGAATACGGAAGATGTAGCCTTGCGGGGTTTGCATGCATGATTGTTTTGTATATGTTACAATACTGTATTTGCCGAAAATGCTAACAACTTCCGCACGTAATACAAACATATGCAAGGCTTGCAAACTTTGCAGGACTGTGTTTACCAGGGTTTGCAACATTTTGCGGCCGAATTTTGCGATTTTGCTAATTTCATTTATTCATTATGTTCTTTTTAGCTGTGGTATTTGATTTCCTTCTCTTTCCTTGGGTTTT